GGAAAACTGGGCTCGTTGTGTCTGTAGCGTGGAATATACGTTCGTAGACTGTAGACCGTAGATAGTCGAAGTAACGAGTGATGTAAACGGTAAACAACACTTATAGCTTTATTGTAAACACAGATCAAAACGATGCACACATACCCGTCAGCTATACGTCGGCGTCTCTCCTCTCTACCCGAAAACCCTCTCCTTTTATCCGTCTATCTCGACCTCGCCACGTTGCGGCGGTTATTGTCGAAGATCGTTGTTCCCCGGCCGTGTCGCGATCACCTGTCATTAAGGTCCTCCCTTAATGACAACTGGTCGGCAAACTCGGGGGCGACCTCGGTCGGTGACCGTCTACTGTCAATGCTAATTTATTTAGGGCCCCTAAGCATGTGGTTAGTGGCCGATAGAGCTATCCCCTGTTCCTTTCGTTGATTACATAGGCGGTGTGTGAAATAATGGTTTTCGGGGATCCCACGGTCCTACATTTCACCCCGCCCTAAAAAAGTCGAATGCCTTCGGCTTATCCCAGTCTCCCGACTGGAAGAAACCCTCTATAAAAAAAATTTTGGGCAATTTGCCTGACTGTACTGTCCCCGTGCTATATCTGTTTGTCAACTGTAACCGTTTAAATGTATAACCATAACATACTAAAAAACCAACGTAACCGTACAATAGCATAATTATAGTAAACCCGCAACCGTAACATTGTCTCATATCGTCATAAATCGTAATTTCGTAAAAAAATTGCTTGTCTTGCTCTTCGCTTAAAATTACACTGTTCGTTAACACTATACAATAAAATTGACAATAATATCCGTATGTCGAACCGTCACCAATCGCGTAATCTAAAATGTACAATAGCTAAAAGAAATGGCGTATAATATTCAAAAGTTACGTACAAACGTTACAATTCGCGTCCGAAATGTTATCGCTTGTGGATGTTATTTTAACTGCGCGGATCAAAACTCATAAACCGCATACAAAAGTGAAAATTCGCGGAAAAGGTTATAAATTGTATGTAAAAGTTATACTTGGCCTGTGGTCTTCGCGTACTGCCGTACACAACAATAACGTGAGAACCACATGAGAGGGAAAAATGAGAGTCAGAGAAATGTTAGAAAACAGTTTACATCGAAAACATTTTATATTGTAAATTTAAATGGAAAAATACCCGTTTGTTCATTTCAGTACTACTGCCATAACCCGTTAGTTTGCGGGGGAAAAGGGAGAAGTTTGTCCAGCTTAATGCCGAAAACACGATAACCAGCAACTAACAATCCACCTAGCCACCCTCCAACCAGGCTCCCTCCACCCTACGTGGTCCCTTACTCGGACCCAGGCGGAAGAGTCCCCATGGAGTGACGGCCGTGAAGTCGGTTGTGGCAACTGGGCCAACTCCGGCAGGGTACACTGTAGCATCTGTTGGTGCAATACCGCGAGATGCCGCACGTCCTCCGAGTCGTTGTATTCGTCGTCTGGATCGTATGCCCGTAATAGGACATAATACCTCTCTAATAACGAGCCCTGATTGTTTACGAATGAATCGAAACCCTCAGGCATGTAGTTTTCGTAGTCATCATGCCTGGTCACCATCCACCAGGTGTTGTTTAACTCGACCCCCGGTGGCGGAAGTGGGATCGCCCCCCCCTAAATAATTTGTAACCCCTGTCAGACTGGGTGGTTGTGGCAGGTTCTCGAAATCTGGCACGCGTGAAAGATAGATGGCTGGCCCTACGAAGCCTCGGTAGATAAACCAGCCAACTATGTGCACGTATTGTGCCAGGGTCAGACGTCTGATCGCCTCCCCGCACCGACCGAACAACTCGACGTACTTTTCCGGACCGTAATCTCCTTCTTGGTCCATGATGAGCTCGAACAGGGGGACATCGGCGGGGTATT